AAGAGAAATTGTTTTGTGGCCAAATTTGTTCTTTTAACACAGAAACTAGTTAAATATATGATGCATTGTATGTCATGCAGCTTTAGGACTTTTAAAAGTACTTTAAATATCTATAAAAAACATATACTCCATATAGTTTTGTTTACTGTACAAAATGTAAATTTACTTACCTTTAAGTGCTTCCAAACCTCCAAACACAAATGAAGATATTTGGAATAATGTTGACATCAACTGTTGGAAAGATACCATGAGAGATTGGGAGTCAGTGGCTACCATTTACCAAGACTCTTGAAAAATCTACTTTTATGTTCAAAAAAAGAAAGACATACAAATAGGGTAGAAAGAGGTGGAAATGCTGAGTAAATGGTGATAGTTTTCATTTTTTGGGTGAACTGTACCTTTAAGTAAGATGTGTTATTGGGTCTTATTGGTTCTGGAACAACATCTTTACAACATAACCCTGTCTATGACCCCAATCTAAATATAAACTAGTCATAACACCAGAAGAATGTAACGGCGTAACCATTTCTGTTTATCTAAAATGTGATTGATAATTTGGAATGTTGCTCCAAGACTAACAAGGATCCTGCTCTTTGTCCCACTTGGCCAAATAGTATTATGCTAACTAAATTGTCTTATAAGCATTTTACTCTCACTGACCAACTTATTAGCTGACACATTGGGCCTAGGGAAAAACCTTTGTGGCAATATCTCAACAAGGTACATACAGTTTAAGTCAGAATTATTAACCCCTTAAATTATTAGCCCCGGTTATTTTTTACCCCAGTTTCTGTTTAACGGAGAGAGGATTTTTTTCAACGCATTTCGAAACATGATAGTTTGTTCTGTACAGTATCGAAAGAAAATATAGCCTAAAAGGGCTAATGAATTTGATCTTAAAATGTTTTTTTAAAAATGTAAAACTGATTTTAATCTAGCCAAAATAATACAAATAAGACTTTCTCCAGAAGAAAATTATCAGACATACTGTGAAAATGTCCCTACTCTGTTAAAAATCATTAGGGAAATATTTAAAAAAGAAAAGAAATTCAAAGGGGGGCTAATAATTCTGACTTGAACTGTATGTGTGTGCAATGACTGCATCATACAATTGCCAGTGATTTGTTGGCTTTGCATACATGATGCAAATCTTCTGTTCAGCCACATGCTAAAGTTGCTCTTGTGGATTTAGATCTGGTGACTGTTGAGCCATTTGTCTTATAGTAATTTTATTCTGCTTTGAGTAGTTTCCTCTTCTGAAGCATTGGCTAATAATAAGGGGCCTATTGTTTAGTCGACTACCAGCATCCTGAACAATTGATATAGCAGAAAGGATCCAGGTTGTATGCGCCAAAAGTTTACAGTATAATCCAAATGTTCCTTTAGAAATTGAGACCTGTTATATAAGGCCACCGTTTTCCAAATTTTTTTTTGTCTAATTTTGATAAGCCTGTGTCCATTAAAGCCTCAGTTTCCTATTCTTATTGGACTAAAATGGAATGCAGTGTGGAATACTCAGATTAGCTAGTCATGTACCAACAACAATACTGTGCCACCATAATAGGTTACTTCGCCCAAAAAATTAAATTATGTTACTAATTAGTCAAGCTCATGTCATTATAAATTAAGATAATTTATTTTTATGTGTGCACATAGATTGGTAATATTCTGACTGAACCATTGCAAAAACCTAGACTGTTTTGACATTAATTTTGGTATGTTTCTGAATCAGAGAGCTCCCAAATTTCATCCAAAATATCTTTATTTTCTTTATGAAGAGGGTTTTAGAATGACATAAGGGTGAGTAATTATTGACAGAATATTCATTTTTGGGGGAACTGGGTATGTAAGTAACTTAAAAACCCTTCCTCAGTTTGATGTTTAGTCTTAACGTCGGCAGAAATCGCAAAAAAAAAAAAAAATTGCATCATGTATCATAAAAATATCTTGTTTACATGCCTTCTGTAAATGCACAGTTTAGTTGCTCTTCTGATTTGTCATTTAGATATTATTAATAATGTGAAGTTGAATAGAAGTATGCTCTAAAGTGGCAGGCCATTGTACAAGTGATTAAATATACTGTAGCAGTGAGTCATATGGTATTTTCATGCATTTATCTAAACAGGGACGGCTGATCAAATGTGAGCAAGATTTCCAGCACTTCAGTCAAAGAATGTACGACATGTCCAAAGAGATACACGATCAAACAGGCAAGATGAACATATTGAGATCAGAGGTCAAAAGTAATGTTGACACCTTTGCTTTGCGCTTGGACCGAGTGAAGAGAGAAGTGGAATACCTGCAGAATAAGATCCCTGACACCGCTCAGGTCGACATTGAGGACTCGCTGCTCGAGCGTCAGGTCAAAGAAGAAAAACTCAAAAGGACATCTGTTATCCCTAAAGACAAAGGTAAATAAGAAGTTTAGTCATCTGTCTTGTTGAATTTACTTCACAGCTAAAAAAAAACAATGGCAAACAATAGGATTGTGTTTGTGCTTCTTAGATATCGCCAGCTATGGGCCAGTCATAAATATTACACCATTTTGAATTGTTTTTTATGGACAAATGTGAACAGGGATTGCTTTCAAACTTTTAAATATAAAAATGAAAAGAGTTTCTTACATTGTTGTCATCTACCCTTAGTTTTGTGAGGTTTAGTTTTCATTTATGATGTTTTTTTTTATACAGTGTTTAATAATATATATGCTGCTGCTGAAGTTACGATACTACAGTAATTTGTTTAAATAAATGAACATGGCAAAAGCTAAATTAATTGTTTTAATGCTAAAACCTCACTCCTCTGAACTCTAAAGGTGCTCTAGCGACAAACACAAGAGGCCATGGTCTTTAGCCTCCTTGTTAGAGCAACCGACTTCCATACAAAGAATCGCCAGTTCGATCCCAGCTCAGAGCGAGCAAGGTAGTGTAGGACCGGCAGGGATACGTTGGTGCCGTGACCCGCATGGGGGTGAGGTTTACAGGGGGTGAGAGTAACGGAAGCCAGCTAGCGAAATGCTGTGGAGGTAATCCTCACTCCTTTGACCACTAAAGATGCTCTGGTGACAGATGCTAGATGCCATGGTCTTTGGCCTCTTTGTTAGAGTAACCGACTCCCATGCTGAGAATTGCCAGATTGATCCCAGCTCGGAGCAGATTGAATAGTGTAGGACCGGCAGGTAACATAGACATCGCATGAAAAATATATTAAGGCATGTAAATATTGCTAAAATTACATGTGTATACATATTTATATAAGTGTATACACTGCTATATTAACATCATCTGTAGTACTAATAAATAATTTGGTGAAATGGTGCCAAAATATTAAATATTTAAAGAAGAAATGCTTGGAAAAAGGCATAATCTACTAAACTTAATATATATTTTGCATATATTATAATTCTATATAATTTCATAATATTTTTTTCTTGATTCTTCCAGACTGCAGTTCGGAGCTTGTAGGTATCAAATCCCTTAAAATTGTCAAAAAGGCAGGTGATGTCAATGGAGCCTGGATGAAGGATCCAACAAAGGGTTCTGCGAAGATTTACTTTTTTAGTGGTGATCGAAACGGTACAATATTGGCATTTAATTCTCTGAAGGCTTTTACTGATACTAACTCCACCAAAAAGATGGAAATTATCAGTCTTCCTTTCCCCTGGCATGGAACTGGCCATGTGGTCTACAACGGTTTTGTGTACTACCACCATGCAGACACAAACAATGAGATCCTGAAGGTCCACCTCAACAACCGTACGGTAGTCGATCGAGTTCTGCTTCATGGAGCTGGTCGAATGCCAGTTTATTCTCTCAGCCCGCACACCCTGCTAGACCTCGCTGTAGATGAAATGGGGCTTTGGTCAATCCACGCAGATCCAGACTACAGTGGAAACTTGGTGATCACCAAACTGGACCACAATAGCCTGGCCGTGGAGCACACTTGGGATACCAATTGCAATAGTCGTGATGCAGAAGCAGCTTTTATGATCTGTGGTACCTTATATGTGGTCTACAACTCTCATTATGGCGGAAGGTCCAGTATTCAGTGCTTGTTTGATATCCATGATACCATCTACATCGAAAGCATCCCTGTGCGTTTCTTTCCAAAACGTTACACCAGCCACTCTGCTTTGCGTTTTCACCCCAAGGATAAGCAACTGTATGCTTGGGATGATGGTTATCAGACCATCTATAAGTTAGACATCAAGAAGATATAATGTGGGTCAGGTTAAACTGAGGTCCTTTTTTTCCCAGCAGTGCTTTATTCTTCTTCCCAGTCACATCCAATCTGCTTGTAATTTAATGGAAGCCATTTTATAGTGCACTTTGTTGTTGTGCCAGATAGTAATTTCCTGAAAAACAAAGGACTCTTTGACTTCCTCGGTTCTGTCATAGAGCAGCACATATCATGTATGCAGTCTTTCTATGATTAGAGACAGTAAAATATGTTTATCCAACAGCAAATAAATAGTATACAAAAGCAAAATCTGCAAATTGTCTCTCAAGGAATATAGTTTGCACAAAGTATATTATGTTTGTCTTTCAAGTTCACTGCTATTTTTTTAGATTAAGGCTTATATAGGATCATGTTTAGTTATATAATTATAGTTTAATTTCAATCAGCTGCTCATTTAATGTTTTTCCTCAATCTAAAAGTTGTGTTTTATATACATCAGAAGAAAGTCACATACTTCTTGAATGGCGTGAACGTGAATAAATTAATAGCAATTTTTCATTTTTAAGCATAACTTCAAAATATATTAGGCTAATTTTTAGTGCAAAGATGCTTCAAACACACTGCATCCACACAAGTACATTCAATTTACTTTTGGAAAATCATTTGTAGGTTTACCTTTATAAATTTGTACATTTGTGGTCCCTTTTGTAAACGTCTACCTGCTCGATTAACAGCCTCTGCCATGCGCATGCGCACTTGTGAATGCTTGCTGTTTTCGTGAACTTCAACGGTATGTACAACAGATGGCAGTGCTGTTCTCTCTCAGATTTACAACACCACCTGAACGTATTAAATATCAGTTTCGGAGTATATTTGAGGGGAAAAAAACGACAAAAATAAATTACGTATGTTGATATGTGATATTTTATTAGCTTATTCTGTCATTTAGCGATAACCACATCCGTATAACCACAAACAAGCGTATTTTACCGCTCTTAACGTTAATTGTGCTTGTGAAAATGTTACCCCCAGTAACCTTTTCCAAATTACAATAGTTCCTCTGTACTTTTCACATTTTATCAGTATTACTGAGAGTGTTGCTGTACTTTATTTGCTCATAGTATGGAAATTGTTTAATAAATCCCGCCTCTTACAACACGTGACAGCTGATTGGTTAGAGGAAATGTATCTCATATGGCTTTATTATATGGAGCAGCGCAGTTCTATCATAACACATGAGCGGGAATCCAGTTGACAACAAGAGGATTAAACATCACTCGGGATCGGAATTACTACCAGTAAAGGTAAGTTGATTTTCAAAAACCAAATGTTATCGTTACCTTTTTTTTTGCTTATGAACAACTTTTTAGTCATTTTAAGCAGCATTACGGAGGTGTAATGTCATTTCACAAAGTTTAGGTGATGAAGCAGATTGTGAGCAATTAATGTATTGTATTTTGTATTGTTATTAATTATTATATCAGTTTTTTAATTAATGTATTGTATTTTGTGTTGTTATTAATTATTATATCAGTTATCAATATCAATAACATTTGTTTGTTGTGCTATATAGCAGTATGTGTATGTTAAATGATCAAATTGTGCATAACGTGAGTACATAAGGCATAATGTTCATCAAAAGCTTATTGTAAAATATAGAAAAGCTTTTGAAATTAGTTGTTTTAATAAATTGTGATATTTGACAAGTTTAATAGTGGAAAAAACGTAGTAGTAGTGAATAAATTAGTATTTTGGAACACTCTAAGAAATGTTGGGTTGTACTAACCAAACATTTGGTCAAATATAGACAAGTCCAACGTTTTTAAATTAAATGTTTCAACCCAACTGTTGAGTTTTCCATATATTACCTAGCATTGGGTTAAAACAATCAAACATTTTTTTAGAGTTAAGTAATTGTATAGATTGTCAGTTTGTGTGAATTTATTGATTTACTAATTTTATTGATTCGCTAATGTTCATAATGTTAATTTCATGAAAATTGGTTTGCATTTAAGTTCTGTATTCACCTTATCCATAATTTGATAATTCAACTTACACATACTGCTATATAGCAAACGTATAATTATCAATAACAATACAAGATACAATAAATTAATTAGAATTTAATTATTCACTATGAAAAACAATCTGTTAACTGACCTAAACTTTGTAAAATGACTTTAGCATTGGGTTAAACCAATCAAGCATTGTGTTTAAAGTTAAGTAATCTCTTAGATTGTCAGTTTCTGTGAATTTAATTGATTTACTCGGTATGTATTTTAAATTTTGAACAATTGTCATTTAATGCAAAAGACTTATTTTACAGTTTGAAGAAATGTCATTAATAGTTTTAGAACAAAAGAAAGTTTAGGTAATATTAAACAGGGATTTTCTCTTTACTTAATAATTTTCCATTCATCCATACTGTGAATCTGATTAACTTGTGAAGTTTAAATTATATTTGCACACATTTTTATATTTTTTATTTTATATTAGTACCCAAATAAAATGTACTGTCATGACCAAAAGAGCAATAATCACTGACCAGAAACGTAAACTTAAAGGTTATTGGTCTGTCAAATCCTGAAGGATCTACAGTAGGTAGATAACTAGGTCATGCAGTGTAGCAAGTATGGTCTTAGATTAGCAGTTATCTGACCCCATATACACAAATATTCTGCTATTTGTTTGGAATTGCAGCCCGTTGCAGTTCTTGGTTCTGCCTGTTACTATTCATTGTCCATGTTTGTTTTACTGCCAGTTGTTATTATAGTGTATAAAGCCTCTTCCTTCAGTCCTGACCCCAGTGGGCTCAATGAGGAGACACATTTTGTGCTGCAAAGGAGATTTTATTGGTAATGACTATGAGGTTCAGAACAAAGCTGTCTGTGAAGATCATGTGGCTTAGAGAAAAGGATAAAGGCTTTTTTATTTGTCCACTACTTCCCCTGGTTTGTGAAAACAACACACAATTGTATTGCTCTTTGATAACCACCAATTAGAAACAATCAGAAATAAAAGAGTTTAATATCATCATTTTTGTTGTGTTTGTTAAAAGGATTGCATTGTCAGATATGCTTAATGTCGAACTATGAACAATCTTCATGACCTTTGGCTCCATTGTGTATTCTATGACCTTTACCTTTCTGTTTTCCCTAGATTTTGAGGTCATTGAATATTGTTCAGCGTTTTTTTAGCATCTTAGCAGTTCAATCAATTCTTGTAAAAAACAAGCCATTGATTTTCTGATTATTTGTGGTGGAAAGGTTGAACAATAATGTGTTGTTTATGAAAATGAAAACTGTGGAAGCATGGTGTTCATGTTGTTGTGAACTGACACACAAAAAAAAGCCTCGGGCTCCTCTGTCGTATGATTACCGTCACCTTATTTCCATAGAGGTGTGCACACACACACACACACACACCATGTCCTGATTGACCAGTTTTACCACAACCGTTTCATTCCCACAGTTATAATTTGAAAATTACAGTGATTCTCTCATTGAAATCAAGTAGTTAAGAAGAAGTTCAAGCAAAAATAAAAGCCTGTCATTATTTACTCACCTTCATGTTATGTACTTTATGACTTTCTCTTTTCATGTAAAAGAACGTTTTGATCCATCAATTCAGTCTGGAAGAAAACAACCCTTGTTTGGATGCATTAATGAAAACTTGTGACTTGAATTAAAATGAAGCACTTTTGGAAATTGGAAACAACAAACTTTTGCAGACTCTAGCAGGGTTCAACGCTAGGGATTATTTCTAATGGCCCGATTGGCAGGTGGTTCAGATTTTTACTTGCCCTGCCAAAATTTTCTCTGGCCCCACCAAAAAAGAAGTTAGCCATTTAATTATTCAGCATAACTTTTCTTTAAATTCAGCTGACAATTTAAAATGATTTAATGTAAATACAATACTAATTAAATTAACTAAAGTGAATGGTGTAGTTGAAAACTACAACAGTTTAATGTTTTTTGTTTGTTTAACCCACCAAATTGCCTAATTTTAGAAACTGGCTCATTATATCAGTCTATAATACTGTCTATATATTTTTTTCATTTATTTGCGAACCTAGATTTAAAATGCTTTTCACTTATTGTTCTTGCTTGATCCATCAACATAGTAATCATATTAGCCTATGTTTAAATCAATTATGGCCTTTGAGTTTTTTTTTTTTTTAATGTAGACTAAGATTGCTAAAGAAAATAATAATAATAATAATAATTCCTTACATTTATATAGCGCTTTTCTGGCCACTCAAAGCACTTTACACAATGGGGGGGGGGGGTCTCCTCATCCACCACCAGTGTGCACACCAGTGTGCAGCATCCACCTGGATGACGCGATGGCAGCCATTTTGCGCCAGACCGCACACCACACACCAGCTGATTGGTGGAGAGGAGACCGAGTGATGAAGCCAATTGAATATGGGAATGGTTAGGAGGCCATGATGGACAGAGGCCAGTGGGCAGATTTGGCCAGGATGCCGGGGTTAAACCCAAGCGGCAACCTCCCGCTCTTCCTCGGGAAGCCAATAAGGAAGTAACTAAAACTGCAATTCATCCGGAATTCCGCTAGTCCTGGCCGCTCCTGGCCGCTCCTGGCTCCATAATAGAGCAAATTTCAATTGAGCCCACTGTTAGAATGGCCAACTTTACAGCAGATAAAAAGGTGTTTACAGCCTGGTACAAAAAAAGACTTTGGTTAATACAGCTAATATTACCCTTCATGACAACTGTGAGGGGGGTGAATTTTTTTATAACTGATCCGTTTCCTTTATATTGAGTTATATTATGTTTGCATAATTAAGGGCGTGGCCACTTGAGTGACAGCTAGGTCTCGCTGATCACCGTCACCTCACTTCAACTGACTCCGGCAGATTAGCCACTGATTTTGGCATATTCATCGTATTTCTGTGTTGTTTTATGTGGCTTTACACAGTCAACTGCCTTTTGGACTTGTTTCCTACAATTATCAGATAGCATGGCATGCTGTGTGCACTTAATTGTGCTCACAAACCCTTCACGTGGCCTCCATTTCCCATGTGAGTAAAGTTATACACTTATATACCATCTCTATACATGTATTCGTTTTATTTAAGATCATTTATCGTTTATATTTATATTTAGAGCTGTAATGCACTCCAGAATCTGACGGATTGATTAGCTGTAGGCTCTAGAACAGTCATCTGAAGCGTTGTCATACAGTGTTATGCTGGATTTCATCAATAGTCCTGCATTTACTAACACAGACTATATCTAAAGTGTTTGGAAGTAATTCGCGTTTTCCTCCTGTTGAAAAATGTCATAAGAACAATACTTAGTGGTTTAATCTATTACAGCAGTGTTTTTAAAAGTCTAAACATTTTATTGATATAGTGTACAGCCAAGCACATGTGGTCAGAACACAAACGAGTCGTAGGTGATAAAGTATTAAGCGTTTTCCCAAAGTATAGTGTGTCTAAACCAGGTCCAAGCTAAATGCCAGCAGGTGTCTGTAGCTCCGCTCACTCTCCGCCTCTTGCCCTTGTTTGGTATCTCGCCGTGGGTCCAATGACGCGCGAACAAAATGGCAATGGTTGGCCGCGTCTACTTTTGGCTTCTTTTGCGCTCTTCAGAAACCTATGGGTGACGTCACAGATGCTACATCCATATATTTTACAGTCTATGGTTGAACCTCTACTCTTTTTGAAGGACATCCTGGGATTTTTAACGACCACAGAGTCGGAACTTCGGTTTAACGGTGCTTACTGAGCAGTATAGCATCCCCTTCATCATACTGGGGCATTAGGACCCACACAGACCGCAGGTTGGTCACCCCTTACTGGCCTCACTAACACCACTTCCGGCTTGCAACCTAGCTTCCTCATGTTTTCTCCCATCCAGGTACTGACCGGGCGCAGCCCTGCTTAGCTTCAGTGGACGACCATGTGAGAGTTGCAGAGAGCTAGCTGCTGGCAAAGAAAGTCTATGAACAGGGTCCCTGCAGGGCTGCATTTCTCGTCACAACACAGGGACTGCAGTCTGATCATGAAGCAATGTTGATCTTTACTGTCGAAGTGTCAAAATGAACAAAACAAATGAACAAAACTATTGCCCTAATACAAAATATATGATTTAAATATAAAAAAATATATCAGATGGTAATTTCGGTCAATTTTTTTCAGTCAACGGATAAACAGCACTCGGTTATATTTCAGTATGCTTTCACTTTCATATTAGACATGAAATGCACATTTGCTGGTAGAAATGACATCCTGCCCAACTCATCATTCTCTCTTCATATAGCCGTATGATAGCCATTA